AATCATGAATCACTATTTCACAAGATAATCTTACACGATAGACATAGCTTCTTTTCGTGTTTGGATTCAGCACAAAAAATAAACCTTACGCGAAAAAAGAAATATTCTGTAGAAGCAATTGATCCAAAACATAATTACGTAGATTAAGCGAGAACTCCTGGCAAAATTTCGGATATTTATGCAAATTCATATTTTTACGATAACCTATAAAGAAAAGGAATCCAAATAGCTTTCACCCTCTAAATATTCCAACTATCATTGTACTATGGATATTTTCTAGCTTCCCCTATCGATATCCGCGTATTCCACTTACTCAGAAATACACAAACATCCCCAGTCTATTCATATCGAAAGGTTAATTTTTTATTTTCTCTAAAACATTAATTTATCCGCAGACAGTTTGTACGACAGGGATTTCACAAATACACCGGGATCAAGGAGAAGACGAATAAAAACAGACGCAGACCACCCAACGTGTAAGAGGTCTTGTAAGATAGGAAACGACAGAGAAGAAGATAGACGAAGAAGCGTATTTTTCTTCTACGGCTGATCCTAGATTCCATTATTCTCTGCGTATATTCTGAGTCTTGCTTTGGCTATGGGGTACTGACATGGCAAGAATCGATTTCTGCCAGCCACGAATGTTGTTGCACGCTTCTGGTAAACGGGCCGTTTACATTTGCGTTTAAATTGTAACCCTGAAAGCCACCCTTCCCTCGTCGTTCTGTTTTAACTCGAGAAACTGAAAGCTGCCGGCGAATCGATCCGCCGGTGCATTCTCGTCCTAAAAGAGAAGGAGCGTTGCCGTTTTTCCATGCAGACTTTCGAATCGCCATAGACATTGTCTAGGTTCTGTGTATATGGTGTGCTTTGTTGAAATATTTATTGGAACATACTGTCTCTTCCCTGTCTGTGAAGCAGAAATGCGTTTATATGCGTTTATATGCGTTTATATGCGAGAATTTTCCAGTTTCTATATGTACATATATTCTGAGATACGGTTATTGTCCGTGCATACTTTATTCTTGTCACCTGTCTTATCAAAATATCTGCAGCGATACCCTTTGAAAAAATTTCATTAACATATTTCCGCTTTATATTACGATTATTATAAGAATTATCTTTACTTTGTTTACTTCGTGCGTACGCTTGAAATATATATTTATCGTAAATCTTACTATATAACTAAAGATGATTACAGATATACAGGGTAGTTGGTAACTGGTGGTGCAAGCGGAAAGGGGGTGATTCTACGCGATAAAAGAAGTCGAAAATATAAAATAAACATTTTTTTTTTCATTTTTCCATCGAGACAACGATCTACAGTGATATCCGTCATCACGAGACGTGATAAAGTGCACGCGTACCGAGCGAAAATTCAAAGTCGATTTCCTCGAAAACAAAGCCTCAGGCGAAAAATTTTTATTCCATATTTTCGACTTCTTTTTTCGCGTAGAATCACCCCCTAATTTTTACATAATTATGTTAAATATATTCATTCTTTTCTACATACTTCAATATCTAAGTTATATCGATAATACTGTTTTAAGAATATACTGTACAAAATGATATACAAAAGGAAGTTTAATTATATTAAATGTTAGAAATATTGGAAGATTCAACTTGGACGTTATGACTTCGGTGGTTTAGTTATTAAAGCGATGATGTTGGTATGATTATTTTGTTTCTGAGGGTTTGGATGAAACAAATGTGATAAAACAAACATTATCAGCCCATTCGTGATGAAGAATATGCAATTATTGATAAGGATTAGTACAATTAAAATTGTAAATATTTTTATTCGGAAGAGTTACCTAAAATAGAAAATTATTCGAAAATGATTTATTCAATCTTAGTAGTAAGCTTACTTTCTTAAAATTATTATATTTCAAAATAAAATAGTTCGAATAGACGGCCAATTAAAATATTGTCACATTTTATTTTTAATTCAAATAAAATTTGTCCGAATCGATATTCCAAGAGTACAAAATAAGTTAAAAAAAAAAAAGAAATGATCGTAGAAGAACATTTAAATTGTAACTAAATTAGCGAACCGCGCAGAGCACATATCAATCGTAAATTATTTATTATGCAATTGAAAATCCAAACACGCATCGATGAAAGCAAAACCGCAAAAACTCGTAGCATTGCAATTTTACAGTGCTGATGCACAGTTTTCTGTATTCAGCGCGTAAATTGTGAATCACAGAACGTAGCGACGCGAATAGAGCAGAGAACCATTGAATATGATAAATAAGACGGTCCATGTCACCGTTTTTATGCATAAAAATCCAGCGTTCGCTGCAACCGGACCACTCGACCGCTTTTAAACGTGCCACTCTGTTCATAGGCTCTACAGCCTCGTGACATTTGCATTCACGCCATTTTATTTTTCGTGCTTCCGGGTACAAGCTACGATTCCGTCACGAAATTCCAGCTAACAAATAAATATTAACGAAGCCACCGGCTACATTAACACGTAACAACGAATTTTCCTCTGCAATAGCTTCGGTTGATGGGAAAATTTTACGCACGCGCCTCTCTTGGCTACATCAGTAGTGATGGGCTTAAGTTCGTCGCAAGTGGCCTCGAATATTTAATTGACTTTTAATTGACTACATTCAAATAACATTTAGAAGCAGTTTGAAGAAAAGAAGCACCGTAAGATACGAGAAATTAAGCTAAGTTAAAGAATTAATAAGTTTCGAATTTACCAAAAAACTTGTATCACTGACATTGTATCTATTAAATAAGTTGAAATATGCTACTCAAATTAACGATAGAACAAAACCTCTTCTTTAACCAGTGCAGATGTTAAATTCCCGAATACTGTATCTTATACACTGTATGCAATTTTTATTTGTTTGTCCTGGTGACAATGTGCACAAAAATCATTTTCATTGTTCCTTCATTTAGGTTTATTTTTTTGTCAGCTTCCATGTTCGTCGATTTTTTTCTTTAATCGTCATTGCCGAAAGATTAAACCGCAGCTTATTGACAGTAGGGTTTAGAAAGCAATTTTTTACATGGCGATTTTACCACAGAATGTGCCACGAAAATAATTGACAAGAATTTTCGAAATATACTGTAAATAGATACTATCAATAAATTTCTTCGTGAAACTTGTCTTACTGATTATCAAAACGTTATGATACACTTTCGAGTACTGTCGAAGATAAGATTGGAACTCTCGAAAATACAAAGAGCTCAATAATCCACTGCCCTATATAATAAATGCAGTTTTGTGATAAATTTTTATCTATTACTCGCTACGAGTAATTGGGTTCGATCGTGATAGCTGAATACGAGTGAGTAGATTTCTAAATCTTCGAAGCTTAACAGCTATTTATAGAATAGTCTACAAAAGGAACTTCGAGTATCGAATTTGACTTAGATTTATAAGTAGGTACTAGGTGGGTATTAAACTTTGTCCCATCGCTAGATATCAGCATAATTCAGCGTCGATGTTGACATATATCGATTTTTCATCGACGTCGATGAAACGAAATTGTCGCGGCACGAAATTATCGCGCTGTTGATTCGCTGATTGGATTCATTGGTGTGAGTGCAACGATTCCAATTTACGGCGGAGCATGGTATTATATCGTTTCCCTGTATTTTAAAAAACGCGCAACACCGCACCGCGGAAATTATCGTTGAATTGCGTATCAAATGTTTCATTCGTGCGAGTGAAAGTTCAATCTCTTGTAGGATATAATAGCGTAATGAATTTTACAGTATTTGTGAAATACAGATCCAGAAATATGTAATAGTTATATTATTGAAAATAATGTAGAAATATTCTCGAGAAAAAGATAAAACTTTCAATCAGTAATCATTCTTATTTTTTTTATTACTGTTTGTATTATTTATTGCCATTTATTATTATTTTCTATATTGCTTTTATTATCGTTATTGTTTACGCAAGTATTTCAAAAGTATTGAAATATTAATGAAACCATAGTTTTGCGAGTTATTTTAAGCAGCTTTTACCATGGGACGGGTAACATTCCTGTATTTTCTGTAATTAGAGACAATAAATTATGGCCTGTTATTGGTGTAGTTAGAATTCGATCGAAACAGAAGGAGAATTAATTTCAGTTTCCTTGCAATTAAATTATGTGTTTGTAATTGTGAAAGTTCGAAATTTAATCTATGCGTTTTATAATACTTACGGGTCGATTTATCCAATTTGTTCTAATTATTATATGACGTAGTTGCATAACAAATGTCGTTTCAAGATAAACGGTATCATATTTGCTTATGATACTCGCGATACTGTGAGAATTCACTATAATTAATTTGAATAAATAAAAATAAGAAAAGCATAATTTGTTAATGATTCAGCGAACGAAGGAATTTTCGTACCGTCACACAACAAACAAAATCAGCAAATTAAAACAGGAGAATATCTAATTAGTTATAAACAAAGTAACTCCATTAACAGTTGTTATACTACATTAATATCAATAAACATCTACATTTATTCATATTAATATTAATAAAAGTCTACGATTATCGATGAAACCTCTCATCAGTCGCAAACAATAAAACGCAATAATTTATATCATCCACGTAGTTAGTCATTTATGTTACGATATGTAACAATATAAATATAGAAATAAATGTAGCGGCACAAGAGTTAGAATTTGCTTTAAACCATGTTGGTGTTTTGCTTCGGAGTATCAAGACTTAGGTCACAGGTATTGTAAGGAATACGAACTCCGGGCAAAACAATGGCGCCGCTACATGTAACCGTAAAGCAAGACGAATTTGTATCTTTCGACCTTCTTCTGACGATTATAAATAAACGAACGTGACCGCAAGCGATTTAGTATAAACTGTGACTAAACGACTGTATAGATATCGTTTCGCGACAAGATCTGTTTTAAACACAATAACGAGTACACATATTGATAGTCTCATTATTCGATCCCCTACAATTGGTGACCGACGTGATTGGAAGTGATAAAGTAATCGCGAGTATCAGAGCTTCCGAGATGACGAGTACCGACAAAAACGAGCTCGGTAACGTGGACGCGGTGAACGCCCAGCTTCGCATACCACCGTTCTGGACGGATGATGTAGAGCTGTGGTTTAACGTGCTAGAGGCCCAGTTCAAACACGCCCGGATTACGAGTGAGAAGGCCAAATTTAATGCCGTCATCGCGAATATAGACAAACCGTATGTGCGACTCATCCGCGACATCGTAGTCAATCCACCGGAGAGCGGGCAGTACGTGTTCCTTAAAAACCAACTTATTAAAAGGCTGGGCGAGTTAGACGCCCGACGCCTACGCAAAATAATCGAGAGTGAACAAATAGGCGACAGGACGCCTTCTCGATTCTACCGGGATCTGAAATGCCTCGCCACCCCGGCAATATCAGACGAACTTATCCGGACTCTCTGGGAAGGCCGACTCCCGGTGTACGTGCAACACGTTCTAGCCGCCGTCCAGGATAAAAGGCCCGAAACTCTGATCGCGATCGCCGACAGCATCTACGAAATACACCCGGAACTAGGACAGGTTGTTGCGGTCGGTACAGACCGAACCACGGTAGGGGGCAATCCAACAACGTACGGCGGCGGAGTAAACGATGCTATGGTTGCCGTCATGAACGAGATGAAGGAACAAATAACGCAGATACAGGCGCAGGTAAGCGCGTTGACCATCGGTGGCCGCCGGCAACCATGCTCCTGCGCGAAATCCCGAAGCCAGTCACGGCGACGTGGCTTATGCTTTTATCATGCGACGTACGGGAAACGCGCGAAAAATTGCATCTTACCGTGCACATGGGAATCGAGAAACGGAACGGGCCGTCCGTAAACGCGGTAAACGACGACGGTTTGATGTCCCGCCGCATTTTTGTTCTGGATAAAAACATGCGCATCTCGTACTTGGTGGACACCGGCGCAGACATCAGCGTCTACCCGCGCAGCAAAATACAGGGACTTGCGAAGAAGAGCGAGTACGAATTGTTCGTGACTAATGGGATACGAATTGCGACGTACGGTACGGTCGCGATCCACCTCAACCTGTCCCTCCGACGCGCCTTCAAGTGGTATTTTACAGTGGCTGACGTCCAGACACCTATCCTCGGCATGGATTTCCTGAGTCACTACGGGTTGCTCGTGGACCCACGGAACAAAAGATTAATCGACACGACGACCCAGTTATCATCAAAGGGGTACGCCGCCATAGACAACACGTCATCGGTGAAAACTATCTGCGGCGATTCGGTGTACCACTGGCGGAATTCCTCCGCGCGTCCTCCGTCTTTCGGGAAGGAAAAGGCCCGACACGGCGTAGTACACCACATCGAAACTACGCCTGGCCCGCCGGTCTACAACAAACCCAGACGCCTTGCACCGGACCGCCTCAAGCAGGTAAGAGCTGAATTTGATTTGATGATAGAACAAGGCGTGATGCGCCCATCGAAAAGCCCGTGGGCATCACCCCTTCACGTTGTGTCCAAAAAAGGATGGAAATTTGCGACCATGCGGCGACCACGAGCAACTGGGTCGAGATTCTGCCAATTGTCCTGTTAGGGATTATAACTGCGATAAAAGAGGACTTAAACGCAACGGCGGCCGAGATGATATACGGTACCGGCATATGTTTACTGGCAGAGTTTTTTCTACCAACTAAGCAGCGCGCCACTACGGAGCAACCCTGCTCAAGGAACAAATGGAGAAAGTCCGGCCTCAGCCTGTGACGCAACACAGGGAAAAGAAAGTATTCACGTTCCGCGAATTGGAGTCTTCTCGCTATGCATTCTTGTGACATGACGCAATTAGAGGCCCTTTACAGTCGCCTTACAATAGACTGTTTAGAGTAACGCGAAGAGGCAAGAAAATGTACACCATCAAGGTTAACAATCGCGATATAACGGTTTCCGCCGATCGGCTTAAGCCAGCATTTTTAGTATCAGAGAATCTCGACGCGAGAACCGCCGAAACCCGTAACATACTTATTCCACTAGAACAAATGAACGCTCGTAATGAAAGCGACGTGAATAGCAACAACGAGGGAAACACTAGTAATAGGTATGTTACAGGCCGAAGAGTCCATTTTCCTGATTGGCTACAAGCAGCTTTCGGCTAGGCATCACAAAAGATTACACACGGGGACTTTCTCTGCAAAGGCAATAAAACGTTATCATTTGTAGGGGGGTGATGTAGCGGCACAAGAGTTAGAATTTGCTTTAAACCATGTTGTTTTGCTTCGGAGTATCAAGACCGTTAGATCATAGGTATTGTAAGGAATACGAACTTCAGGCAAAACAATGGCGCCGCTACATGTAACCGTAAAGCAAGACGAATTTGTATCTTTTGATCTTCTTCTGACGATTATAAATAAACGAACGTGATCGCAAGCGATTTAGTATAAACTGTGACTAAACGACTGTATAGATATCGTTTCGCGACAAGATGTGTTTTAAATACAATAACAAGTACACATATTGATAGTCTCATCATTCGATCCCTTACATAAATTCCAAGCTACTCGTACTAAATCATTCACGAAATCCATCGTACGAAATCTCTTCTGTTGTAACCTAATTTTAAATATTTTCAAACTATTTTTTTCGATGCTTTTAGAAGAAAAACAGCGACTTCTCTGATACGTAACACGTCTCCATCTGTAAGAGTAGAAAGATTTCCGAGCATTAAGTAAGTATGTATGTGTCAGGTCGCGAAGATCGAGAGCATCCGGCGCTATATTTCCGCGTCGATGCGGAAAAACGCAAGCCATTCGTTGGGCGAGAAAACTGTACGCCGTGGCTAAAGTTCGTGATTTAAGGGTACTTTGAAAATCTTTCAGCATTTCCTTGTGAAACATGTTGCCTATTCCTGCGCGAGTTTTCTTTCACTTTAGCCTACTTTTAACTCGTTCGTCGAATAAGGGGGAAGGTGACCGTGATGAATCGCTTTGAACGATTCAACAACTCCACTTTTAAGAGAAACCTGCACGTTTACAGAATTCGTATTAAAATCTAATATCCTTAACAGTCTCGAAAATAGAAGATTATATTTTATTTGCTAAATATCTCATTACGTCGTTTCATAAATTTTGTCGTTTATTAGTTCAATAACACGACTTACTTGTCATAACTACCGATACAGGAAATTTTGTAACAAATTTATATAGATATATATTTTAGGGAAACACGAGATTAGTATACGGAACAAATATAATCGTAACAAATACTTGCTCCATATAAGCCCTATTCTGAAATTTCATGTATGTGTGTGAACAGGAGAATTTATATATGTATATACTCCAATATGTATATACTACATATGCGAATATTCCGTTATCGAACAGAATGTCTATTACTTTTAAAGACTTAAACAAATATTTGTTTCTGTTGCAGCATGTCGTCAATATCGGTCAGTGGTAGCCGAAAAAATTTGTCGCCTTTCGTAACGCTTATCGACAACCAAAATAAAATTCGGGCCATTGATAATGGTTACTGGTAACCAAAAAGATTCTGGTCATTTATATTAGTTATCGGTAACCGAAATTAAATTTCCGCCATGAGTAATGGTTACTGGTATACATAGTTAGTGATTACTGGTAGTAAAAATATTTTTAATCATTCATGTTGATCATTCGTAATCGAAACAAGTAAAAATTAATATATATCGGAGATGTAGGGTCAACGGGCCTTTCTGTGAATCTGTATTGCATAAATTAGATCATATGTTCTTATTTAATGTTTTTTCGTCACATTCTTTCTTCTTTTCATACTTGTATCATAACTTCTATAACGAATCCCCGCAATAATTCAAAAAGTATTTTTATACATTCACGAAAAATAACTTCAGCTGATCAAGAAATTCATTTGAATATGTATATCCTTTCGTATAATACATAATATACACAAAAGCTTTTTATAAGTGTTCAGATACTTTTACCATATACCATTCGTCGAAGGGAGGCTTTGAATCTACCCCTAAGAATCTCATGATACATACTTACTAAACACATATCTTCTTCTGCAGAAACATAATCCTCAGATATTCGTGAAAAACTAAATAAACCGGATGTATAATATTTTTTACGATATTAAATATTGTATAACGTTTTGTTTAATCCCCATAATTTCACTTAGTATATTTGCATCATATTATTCGTGTTTTCTTCTATCGCCCACAATTCCCACAAAAACCTTCGCAATAATCCAGAAAGAATTCTTAAACATTCATTAAAACTAAATTCTACTTATCAAGAAACGTTTGAATAAGAAAATCTCTTTTCAATATACCGCAGAACGGGACAACAACAAGAGAACAGCTTTGCTCCTAATGCTTAAGCTATCCTTGATGTTTTTAGGGTCAACATCTTACACGGTATAGCATGCTTTCCACAATCAGTATTGTTATGTCAAATAGTGCTTTGAGACTGGTGTTATTTTGTGCCAGAGCGGTCCGTAAATGGCGCACGGACGGGTTAGTCGCATCGTTTGCCAGCGTTTCTCCCTTTCGTGTCTATCCGAGTCTTTTATCGTTCGTTATTGAAAAGGGACCAAGAGGCGCGGGTCGAGCAACCAAAAGAGCAACAGTCAACGGTGCAAGCTATTGAGAGAAAATTCTGCCTGTAGCGGATATATTTTCTAGCGTTTAGGGCAACTCTTGAATTCCGATATCTCGCTAAAATCCGGCTTCCGGGTTCAACGATGACTTCTTCTTGCTGAATTCTATTCCACGATACGCTGAATGAAACGCGTTTTCTCTCTTTGGAATCGCGGTGTGTTATGTGCTTTGAAACGCTTGATAGGGAAATGAGAATTTTCGTAGCATGAAATGCACGGAAATATGAAGATTAATTTAGAATTACGAGCGTATAAATAGGTACAAATATTTAGCTCTTTTCACAAGTAATATCGTGTTTACGTACGTAACTAGGAAACAATAACACATTTAAAATGTGATAAGTCTATTCCGAAAGAACAAAAACGTAGGAATTTTTGTCGATAATATCGTAACATGTACGCAAGTATTGAAAGATAGGAGGTTATTTTCCAGCCGGGACCTCAATATTCAAAACGATTCTTTGCGATGATCGTAACGATCCTTTTTATTTTTTATATCTATCCTGCTCTCAATAGCCGAGTGTGCCATAAACGCGGCCATTTCATTAAAAGGAGTCATTAGCGATGCTAAGAAGCAGAGGAAGAATTTCCACAACCCTTACTTAATCGTTTCGTGGCCTCGTGTTTGCACATGGAAAGATATAAGTGCTATATAACGAGCATGCTAATTGGATCTTCTTCGCTTCGGTGAAAACGAATCAGCATGCATATTTTTATATTTTATATTTATAGAATGCATATTACATCATTGGGATTAATATCAGAAAGAGAGTAAGACTCGTTTGATCATCGAGAATGATCAGTTGTCAGGAACATCTACACCAAGCATTCGTAGAATAAGAGACAGCATACATTTCTTAACAAATGGAAAAAATCCCTCATCAGTCGTTTCATAGTACATATTAACACGTTGACTGCCACGACACCCGTATTCGGGTGTCAGCAAAGTTTCTGGTCAGGCCACGTAACACATATTCGGGTGTCGCTTATTTGACTACTTGCGAAGGATCGTCGTAGGTATTTGAAAAGACATTCCATAATAATAAATTGTTAATTAACAATTAATTGTAATAATAGTTGAATCGTTATAAAATAAAAATACGAAAATGGTTTATTAAAAAAATTATTTAGAATGTAAAACTTTAAAGCATTCTATACATAGGTGAGGTTGGTCGGGACAATTTGGACTATAAGTTGTTGTTTTCTTCAAATTCTTTCGTGCCTTTGTTCGATCCATTCGACGTCTTTTATTTGCATAACGTAGTTTGCACGCGCGTCTAATGCTTCTTCCGGAATCGTTTTTCCGAACGACGATATTATGCCGACTCCGTCGAAGACAAGGATTTTTTGTATTTTCAGACAACCCTAATAATTTTCCAACTAATAATTGTCTAAATATTCTAATATAAAAATACGAAAATTGTTTATTAAAAAAATTATTTAGAATGTAAAACTTTAAAGCATTCTATACATAGGTGAGGTTGGTCGGGACAATTTGGACTATAAGTTGTTGTTTTCTTCAAATTCTTTCGTGCCTTTGTTCGATCCATTCGACGTCTTTTATTTGCATAACGTAGTTTGCACGCGCGTCTAATGCTTCTTCCGGAATCGTTTTTCCGAACGACGATATTATGCCGACTCCGTCGAAGACAAGGATTTTTTGTATTTTCAGACAACCCTAATAATTTTCCAACTAATAATTGTCTAAATATTCTAATATTTATATTTTTCCTTGTTGCAATTCTGTAAACCGTTTCTGTAAACCGTCTCAAAGCGTTTGCAACAGAAATTCCCAGAAAGAATCGAATGCCAAGTTTTCTGTACCATTTGATTCCTTTTCTAATTGTAGTGGCATAAGAAACCATTTGGTCGGAATAATCAATACCACACTTTCCTTCGTTGTATTCAACAACAGCTAGTGGTTTTAACGTTGCGAACAAACGAAACGAAAGATCATTCTTGAGACCACCGCTCGAGCGACTCGCATTACTAAAATATCGATGGGAGCACCTAGCAGAGAACGCTTGGTACTGCTGTACGCGTGGCCTGACGGAGATTTCTTTGAAAACACGCGTGCCAGTCAACGTGTTAATGAATAATATGAATATATATTAATATAGGAATGTGGTGTAGTATCGTGGACGGATTGCCTGGGAGATATCGGGATCACCGGCGATATATCGGTTTCGTGATTTCTTGTCTCCGCCAGGATCCATTCAACGCATCAAGAGGAAACTTCAACGGGAACTCTACGGATTCTACAGCGAAGGACCACGGTCACCTCCTTGATCAAAAGAAGAATCTATAAAGAATCTCGGTAAGCTGGCTTTCGTACATTATCGAAACAGTAAACCCGAAACACGTTCTGAAGATAGTGACTTTTCTTTTGCTGAAAGTATCGTATCTATCAACATGAATCCAACTGATATGAGTACGGCAAAGCGAAACGAACTAATTGCTACTATTCTCGAACAACTTCAAAGTCTAACTCACTAGTTTAGAAACT